AAAACGGGATGCAGCCGAAACAGCAAAAGATAGACCAGGGATCGAGCCCTGGCGAAGTCCGTAACAGCCCCCCTCTGGGCTGGCCTCTTTCCTTTATGGAAAGTGCAGCCCGTGTGTGTCTGCGTGGGCCTGGCTAGGAAGTTTCCAGTAGCTTCCAGTCGGGCCCCAGTGTCTGCGCCCATGCCCACCTCTACAGTTAGGGGCCTGGGCGGCTTGGGGGGGTAGGCACCCTCAGGCAGCCACGCAGCCTCGAAGTGTTCGCTGCTTCGTCATTGGCTCACGGCCCAGGTGTGACGGCAATTCTGCTTTCTCATTCGTCCGTGGCCGCTGCGTGATGTGTCGGCTCACACTGCGTGTGCCCAGGGTGCAAGTTCCGTGCAACCACCCAGGCACTGGGCTCAACTGTACAGCGCAGCCCATGTTTCTGGAAAGAGCCTGAGGGCTCACGGTTCTCCGTAACCAACTGGCGTGCTGCAACTGTCGAGTACCGACATAGGGAAAAATGTTGAAATTAAGCTTCACGTGGATATTCAGGCCCGCCTTCACTTAGGGCGGGCACAGGGCTTGCTGGGGGGGCTCAGCCCAGATCGTGTGCATGGCTGACAAGGGCCCCGCGAGGGCTCATTCCTTGCAACAAGCTCATCCCAGTGAAAATTACAGAATTTGTCGACAAATTTTATAATTATAAGCAACATACTGTCATTGGTTGCCATTTTAACGGAGCAAAATTTGCTGACAAATTCTATAATTATTAATTTATTAATTTTCAATTTTATAGCTCATTCTAGTAAATAAGCAGCATAGACAGAGAGATTATTTTTTAAGTTTTTTTTTTTTAATTCAGCAGCTGAAATCTTCTATCGTTCTGAGTCGTGATCGAGAGTTCAAACTCTGATAAGCGAAGTACCGTCATCGGCTGCCCTTTTACCGGAGTACAATTTGTCGGCAAATTTTATTTTCTATTTTATAATTTCAAAGTTTAAACTTTAAAGTTGTTTTATGGCGCATCCCAGTAAATAAGCAGCATAGGCAGAGATATTCTGTTAAGTAATTTTAAACTC